CCAAGGGGATTGGTCCACTCCTTCTAGTGCGCTTAGGGCTTCTAAGAGCAGTGGCTGGCAGAGTCTGGAAGGGCGGTCCGCCTTTTGAAGATTGGAAGCTGCTCTCTGCAGAGGCTGTAGCTGCAAAACATCGGGAGATCGCGGCATGTCTGGCAGATCGCCAGTATGGACCTTTCCGATTGGGAGTCATGTTCTTGGGCATTGACAAAGCTGTAAGTCTGGGGCGCACATCTCAGACGTACACCATCAATCCTGCAATCTCATCCATCAAGGCCAACAAACGCGCATCAAAGGGCGACTCTGATAGCGATGACGTAGAGATCGTTGAAGTTCGTATGGCCAAACGCCCCCGCTCGACATGACTACTGCAGCCATTCTCGAGCGCTGCGGGCAGTTATGGTTATGTACGTTTGTACCGCCGATATAGTGCATCTTTCGCGTCGCTTTACTGCTTGTAAAATTGTCTTGCCCCAACCTAATAAGTCTTACTTACGCCTCTCGCACTCTCCGCCCATAATCATCGCGGCGGCCGACTTGGATGATAAGAATCAATGCCTAATTCAATTGACGCGGCTACCCATGCCGGTGAGGCATAAGGCGCGGCCCGTCGTCAGAGACCCTGCCATTTCAACAGCATCCGCCAAGCAGATATTTCTACAATATTTAGACACGAGATACCGCCGGCTCTGCTTTTGGCTTACTGTCCACGACGAACGGTGTGAGAAGTTGATGCGTGGGATTTTGGCGCACACAGCGCTTGACCTGCGGACAGATCCGTTTGGTCACGGCCAATTATATACGGCGTTGTCCAGGGTGAGGGCGCGAAGGGATACCCTGTATTTGTTTGCAGAGAAAAAGAAGAGCAGGACGGCGCGGATATCGTGTTTCCTCACTTGCTACTGTAAATACAATTTGTCGTCGAAGAGTAGACCGAGGGCGTGTATTCGCCATATCTTGGTCCGTTCGACTGGAGCGAAATTAACGCTCGGCGAGGCGTATATAGTCACGGATTGGAATTGATCAACGACTCTTTGAATCGATTCCAGCTCCTGAAGGAACTGAGGAAGGTCCGTCCATGCGAGCCAATCCGCCGTTGTGTTGGCCGTAGATTAGAGTTTTCTCCTTACGCGATGCCCCTGCGGGAGTGGGTGGGATCCATACTCTCTGGCCAGGGCTAATGACGGTCACCTTTCCTCTTATAATGCTTGGGGCTGGAAGGGCTACGGGCAAAAAGGTCTGCGATGCCTACGAATTGAATCGCGACAAAGCTGAAAAGTTGCCAGCGGCTCAGATGGCGTGAAAGAGAAAGAAAGATTAGAAAGGCTTTTACCAAAGATATAGGGGACTGTATGAATTTAGCGCCCCCGCTCTTAAGAGAAACCCCAAGGGAAATTAAATGCGGATGGGGGCTAAGAAGCGAAGGGGAGGGTGTGTCGCAACGCTATTGCGTCGCCTGCAGGCGTGCTTCAAAAAGCTATCGCAATGGCCGCAGCGCTCAAAGAGCACGCCAATTAACATGGGCTGGCTACCCCGCCTACGCGTTCGACGCCCCGCTGGGTAGAAGGTAAAAGCAAATGGAATTTTGAGAAAAAAGACGCGGAACGCTGAAAGAGCTGGACGTGCAGTCGACGATAGTCGGGCATGCAACGTCCGAGTCAAGTTCATAGCGTCCAGAGTCAATAATACGATCATGATAGACGCGCGGTCGACGATAGTCGACATGCAACGTCAACTTCATGTTCGGCGGTCTCAACGTCAAACGCTAAGCGTTCGACGACGGTGAAAAGATCCATTCAATTAAAAACGCTAGGCGTTCAACCGCATGCCGGAGGCGAAACTCAAACGCTAAGCGTTCGACGATGATGGAAGTTGAGAAGTGTTTCGTGCGTCAACGCTCGCAGGCTCGCAATCCGCTTGAAACGGCCACTGAAAGAACTGGACGTGCAGTCGACGATAGTCGGGCACGCAACGTCCGAGTCAAGTTCATAGCGTCAATCATGATAGACGTGCAGTCGACGATAGTCGACATGCAACGTCAACTTCATGTTCGGCGGTCTCGACGTCAAACGCTAAGCGTTCGACGACGGTGAAAAGATCCATTCAGTTAAGAACGCTAGGCGTTCAAACGCGTGCCGGAGGCGAAACTCAAACGCTAAGCGTTTGTTGGTGACGTTGACGCCGAACGCTAAGCGTTCGACGACCATGGAAGTTGAGAAGAAAAGACGAAGATTATGTAATCTGGATGTGGCGTTATAACGGCCGCATATAATGTCGGACTTTGAAATTCGATTTGTCAGCGCAGTCCGATACTTCCAGATCCTAGGATATCCGAGCCTCCGAGACTCCGAGTCCAGCATCCGAGCCTTCAACCATCTCAGGCGTCACCAAACAGGGCGGATCAATATATCTCCGCTGAAGCCTAGGCTCACGACGAGTCTCGGCAATCACTGGCTGCATAATTTACTGGTTGACAATAACGAGGGCTTGGTTCTCCACCCGCAACCACACCACTTCCGCACGGCAATCTCACTGCTTCCGGGACACATTAGGAGGACTGGAAACCCCTGGAGAAGGTTTCGGCGGGTAATCGTACTTTAGGTGCGTGATTGGCAGGCAAAATCACGGTCGAAACGTGACCTGGCTATTTCCCCAGGAATCAACCAGCAATATGCTCCCGACTCCCACAGTAGTGGAGGAGGGTTTTGTCTGCAACAAACGGTGCAGTTCTCTACCAAATCGTGCGTGGGAAAGTAAGTCCTCCCATGGGCCCAAAGTCAGGGTATTGGGAAGTCTGTGTGAGGTCTGCGCAGACTCCGCGTCCAGGTCGGTGTCTAGGTCTGTGTCAAGTCTTTGTCAGCGTTACCCGGGAGTTTTTCTGCAGTCCCTCCTGCCACCCTCTCTCGTTTTCCCGCCGCCTCCCTCGCTGCCCACCACCTATACTTGAACTGTGGGCGCCACATCATTCAGTCCAACCCTTCGATTGCCCAATATTCCTGGTGTACTGTGGCGCATGATGACTATTAGTCTGGCTGTGGTAGCGCTGTTGCACTTACGATATGTCAGAGTGACGTTTCATATCATTTGTATGCTCGATGTACTATCTATTACTGTGCTCAATATTATCGTGATTTTGGGCCGTAAAGGCGGTGGACAACGTTATGCATGGTGCCCCCGCTGTATCATACCATGTCGTGCATGACCGTAGTGAACGATGCGAATGTTATACATCATACTACCATGTCGTGCATGACCGCAGCAAACGATGCATCACGCAAGGCATGGTCATCATGTATGACCCGTGACTAACATCCATGCATGACAAGCATTCGTAAAATACACCAGGACTATATTTACACCATGCATGAATTACGGACTAGGATAGCAGTAGGACATGCATGAGGTCTAGATTCTAGACTACAGTAACAGTATTATCATGCATGAGAACCACAGCATCAGGTGGACGGCGGGAATGACATAGTTGATGATCGGACGGGGCGGGATGCAACGAGAAAGGTGGCGGGCAACGAGGGAGATGTGGGAGGAACTACAGGCAATGAGAAAGGTGGCGCACAAACAAGAGAGATGGCGCGCAACGAGAGAGGTGGCGCGCAACGAGGGAGGCGGCAGGCAAATGAGAGAAGGCGGCAGGATAAGACTTCTCCCCACAAACGTACGCATCGTAACCAACCTAGACCGTAAACCGATCAAACCAACTCACGATTCCCCTAGCGCTCTCCTCCTTCGCCCAGCCTGCATCAGCATTCATTCAATGTCTTGCTAATAAGAAACGAAACCAGGCTACTCACGTTGCGTGTCAATAGCAGGATCACCCCGTACAACAAACCCATGTTGGACGCCTGAAAACACCTGGAAATAATATGTGGATTTGCGAGCGACCATGATGTCTTCGGCACGTCGACGCGAGGCCAGTGGGAATGTGTGCTCTTCCTCTACATAAAAGAATAATAGTATTGGGAATCGGCTTAACGGCGATCATGAACATCTGTAGGAAGAAACTTTTACCTGCGCATGAGAAAAGGAGAGGTCCTGCGTTGATGCGATGATTTGTGTTTGGTTAAGGCACCTGGATGATATGTTAAGCATAAGAAGCGTACCGTCAAGTTTCGTTTTCATCGAGGAATGCGGGGGTGAGCCAGTGCTCCTACAGTTCTCACGTGGGCATCTTTCTTGAAAGCTGTCGAATCACTTACCAGCAACCACAGCTCCATCAGAACAGAAGTCCACGACGAATGAGGCTCCAAAGCAATACCCTGATTACAGGAATTCAGCGTCGTTTGGCGCGATTCTTGTATTGACATACCGACAGCGCAGTATTTGGTATTCTCCCTCCCTGTACGCATTTCGGTGACTCAGAAGTGACCGGAAACAAACCAACGTACCGTATTTTCCTTTCACAGCATCTAGCCAAGCGGGGAACGCATCGATAGCAGGTTTGCGAGAATTGTCGATCCACGCCTGGCGATCACAATCAGGCAAGTGGTTCGGCACGGAGTCGCCAAAGAAATAATCAGCTCCAAGTACGATATAGCCTTGTTCCATTCAAATCTCATCATCGGTTCACAATGTACAATGTTGAGAATGGGACGCACCACAGGACGCGAAATAATATTGGATTATTGTTAACGAAAAGCGGACCCCATACAGTCTGCTAGGAAGAGTATCACTTTCTGTGTGGCAGCAGTAGGATCGGGGATGTATGTTGGGATTCCATCGAGGTCCTCAACGCGGCCAACGGGCGTGCCTATGTGTTTTACACCGGAGAAGCAGCAACTACCAGGGGCGGAGGCGAGTGTGGGGGTCATTATCGATATTCTGTGTAGAGATGAACGCCTGGTCTTCGTGCGACCTTTATATCTTCGGAGCAGAAGAGGAAGCTTGGGCTATGAACAACACATACGTCCTTTATGATCGCCCGACCTCCAGAGCCATGTGGATGCATTTCAGCAAATGATTTCATGAGGGATAATCATAGCTAGTTCCAACCTTCGAGAGTTCACGGAAAGCAAACAAGGTCTGTCCCTGAAAACTCATTTGAAACAATCCAGAGTAAGGCCGCAGTATGAGGATGATTTACTGAAACAGTCTGATTTCAAAATAACAGCACATATCACTTGCTACTCGTAAAGCGTTTGAACCATCCTACCATCGCACGTTGGCACTCTTCCTTCGCCCACCCTATCAGAAGCAAGAGCATTGAAAATTCAAATCACTGAAAAAGGCGACAAATACTGACTTTCAGTCTCGATTTCTGGATCTCCCCTTGTTCCAAAGCCGTGCGATACACCGCTGAATATCTGAAAATAGTATGTTGCCCTCTTCTCCACAAGGATGTCTTCAACGTGTCGTCGGAACGTCGCTGGGAATGCAGAGTCCGTTTCTATGGGGTGGTATGAGTGAAGCACGCTTCAGAGAACCAGAAGACATGTCTATACCTGCGCAAGAGAACTACAAGGGCGCTAATTGCATAGCTTGGTCAATGCTGTCATTGAAAAGTATAATATGGAACCTGCCTTTTCTGGCTCTCAGAAGCTCCTCGGTCAAGCTCGTAGGATGGGCACGGTATTTCACATTCGTTCCTTTATATCGCGGCTTATTATTTCGGTATGCCACGTATGCTGGGAAGGATGATCAAGGATCGTACCAAACATTTCCTTGACACCATCCACCCACTTTGGAACGCTAGCCCTCGCTTGCTCGATAGATTTTGTTCTCCATGTTGAGCGATCGGACCCGGGCTTGTTGAGATGCAGATGAACAGGATCACCAAAAAAGTAATCTATTCCAACCACGGTGAAACCTGCCTTCCTGATCAATACGCATACTAAGAAACTATACACACAGAAACTTGCCCTGGGAAACGTAGTAATCTTGAACCAGTTGAGCATTGATATAGAATGGCCCAAAGAGCATCCGAGAAGCACAGGATGACAGTTTCTACTGTGGACGCAACGGAAGCTTGCGGAGCAGATAGGTATGTCGGTACGCCAGCGATGGTAATGCTTTCACCCTTGAGTGTACCACTGTGTGCGACTGAAGTGAAACAGTGATCTGTCAATGGGCCTGCGAGTGTGGACGACATGGCTCTTGGCAAGGAGATGAGGCCTTCAGGCGTCAAGTGGGCAAATCATGTGGTTTCCTTTCGAGCTTGTGTCCCACGCCGCGATTCTCGGTAACTCTCCGCACACCCAGCGTCGGCGTCCCATGCAAAGGCTGATACTATGTTTTGATGTGGGCGTTTTTGCTAGTACTGGTTACCCCGCCAAGACGACACTTACAGCACTTTAAATTTCGTTTAGGGCCAGCCGCAGGGACAAACTCAACCAAGAAATATTTCATTTAAACCAAGTATCTCTTAAATCATAACTTAATTTAATTATTGATATTTTAAAAGCTAAAGTTCCGGTTCAAGTCCGGGTGTTTTCAAACCTAATAACAGTTATTATTTATTCTGAACGCACGCTCGCCCACCCCGCGCCATGTCACGTGACTTCTTGCAGAGGTGAATCGCGACAAGATATCTCCACTTGCCGCTAGTAAGCTTACACTACTTGCATTGTAGGCTATTTCACTGACGAGTACGATAATTGCAAAAAATGCTACGAGGCACCTACTTTTTCAACTTATAATTGCCAAGTTGTGGCAACGTCGAACTTGAAGTTGACGGCGAGTTGGTGTCACCGTTCTTACGACCAATCCTTTTAAGTTTTGAGGAATTTACCCGGCGGCAAGCAGTGAAACAATGTATAATTTACTGACGGCGCTTGTGTCGCTTGGTGTTTCAAGTAGCTTCTATTCTTCAGAATGCCAAGGATGGTCCTGCAGTAAGGTGCGTCGCAACTGATTCAGTGACCGATATCTACTAGTCTCAAGTTTGAGCCGGATACTTCTTGTATATAACGTCTAACTAGTGTTTACAGCGTCGTGCATCCCTAGGCATTGGTGTTTGCGTCATGGCTTCACCAGGTATCCCGCTGGATACCGCCGCGGCTGTCATCATGTCATCAGTGCTAGAAGGCATTTTATATGGTGTGTATTGCAATGAGTTTTCCCGTCTCATGTCCACCAAGCTAGCGCTCCTTAGGCTTTTCAGTTCTCATGTTTTTAGGTACTATCTGGATAATTACTTACAAACGTCGCACATGCGATGTCAATCGGCCAGCTGTTGTAGTTGCCACCCTAATGTTCTTACTGAGTACTGTGGTTAGCGTCTCGCCGCTTTCATCCAGTGACATTCGCTGAAGCTTCCCAAGCACATGGTCGCAGGCATCATTCGTATCGAAGAAAGCGTTGTGACACGTTTCCAGGGGGCCCAGCGGCGTTTTTTGCAGACATTTCCGAAGAAATGTTTGTAGTCAAGGATACGATACTCGTCTTACAAACCATGCTTGGCGACGGTGCGGTGGTGGGCTCAAATTTTGCTCTGCAAGCTTGAAACCTGCGGCTTATAGAAATCCTCCTCGGTCAAAAGATTTATCGATGTTACATTGTGTGGCAATCTGTATGGATTATTATTATACCTTGCATGATGCGGTGTGGTATAGCAGGTTTGTTGCAATCATACTTGCGAAGTGATGCGCTCTGATATTGCCTGGAAGTGTTCGGTGTTGTTACGCTTTATGACTTTTCGCAAGCGTCGAGTAACAATGTCTTCACCAACAAGACTGGACATTTGGTCGCGACGTTTATGACCAAGTTGACACTTGCAACAAATTTGCTTAGTTTAGGTAAGCACACTTCTGCGTATGCGCGATGTTGGGTCTCATTGCCCTGATATTAGGACTGTTAGCTTATCGCATCTGGAAGAGCGAACGTAAGGTCTTCAGAATCCGCGCTACAAAGAGGAAGATGCCTTTATTGCGCGTGTTCATAGATGCTGCTATTTTGTACCCTGCAGCGCTCTGCTCCTCGATCATATGTTTCATCCTCGCGAACAACGGACTGTATGTTATGGCAGACTTGGTAATTTGGCTGTTAACATTTGTTGTCGATATCACTAAGCTGAGATCAACTAGAATGTCCTGATCATCTCGATTGCCTTCTACATGGTGTTCATTCGCATCATGAGTAGTCGACACAATCGAGATTACATCTCAACTGTTCTTGGAGGGGAAAGTAGATTAGAAAACAGAAACTCGCAGCAATATCCTATGTAGTCTTTGCACAACATATACAGGCAAAATGATACTACATCCTTCTTGGCTGATAACTCAAAAAGTGCATAAATTAGCATAATAATCTATCTAGCTTAGTATATCTGGATATATAGTCATCTGTCCTATTCAACCAACTTCGGCGGCCACTAAATACCTCACGAGATTATAGGGAGCCTTACCTTGGAGTTCTGAGCTTATCTGGCACACGGAGAATGTGTTTGGCTCCGAACCTCGATGTTGAGGATATTTTGAGATGCGGCTCCGGTCGGTAGAGGAATTGGCGCGTATGCTGCGTGTTGACAAAATCGATATTGTTCGCATTAGCCCTACAAGTAGTATCGCGCATTCAGGAGTGCGAGAAACGAGCCGACGTATACTTGAAATGATAGTAGTCAGCACCATCCTCAGAGAATGCGTGGTCATACATTTAGCTACTAAAAATCTAACGCCGAGAAAGATAAAGTTGTTTGACATTGCTGCGCACTGCAAACGACCCTTAGAGACGAGGTAGACAATAAGATTATGTAGACCTTACTGTGACTGTAGTTGCCACTGAACCTATACTGCACAAAACATCAATCAAGGTATAGTATAGTCTGGATGGACGAAATACCTTGTGATACAGCCAGTATTAACGGTGTAAGTTATAAGCTTGTTGATGAAGGAATCCATCCTTAACACTCAATATCAACTTGAATATACCAGATCCTGACAGTCGACGGATCGTTCGTTACCTGAAGAACCCAGTGCGGGGGGTAGCGAGGAGATACCACATTGATGATGCAATAAGGATATCGACAACAGTAACCGTGCTCAAAGCCGCGTATGCCGCCCACTCTACTCTAATCAAGTCCGAGCACTGATGACACTGATATCTAATCATGGTTAGCACCTCGCGAGAAATTGAGCAGATGGTTCACTCACAATACCCAACCAAGGACTAGGTCAAAGTGAAGATGATGAGTCAACGGCAGCAACACCATGACCAGTACGCTAAAACCCTCACCGATGTCAACACCTAAAAGGATCTTCATGTTCGAGATTGCACGAAGAGAGTTTGCAGATGACATCGTCACCTAAAGCGAGGGCCATGATTATGCAGAATGGATTACTATAGTATATGAACATTGATTATAAACCCACCATCATTATAGGGAGAGCTCTCGATCGGCGCCGGCTTTGTTCAGTCTGCGCTGACAAATCAAGTTTCAAAGTCCGCAATCATATGCGGCAATTGTGCCAATTCGCGGGTCATTATCAGTCAGGTAAGTTCAGGCTCCCAGACATGTCCTGACCTCGTGTTTACTACTACTATTAACTATCATGCAAATCTTGACAAAACACATTGCAGAATGTCATAACACGTTCCTTCCTATGGTCGTCTAGAGGTAAATCGATACACACACCATGGTCGGGCAGACTGACAGAATGTTCATTAGCTGGTGATTATTGAGGCCCACTCCGAGTCCCAGGGTACGATTCGACGAAGATGAAGACTCGGGTGCAGCATCGCCGCAGCTGGCGATTTTGAGCATACCAAGAGTGAACGATTACAGTGGGGCAGATGCCATCAAGATCGAGTGGCTCCAAGCTCCATGCAGCAACCTCCGCTTTGGTCGAAACGACTCAGACTATAAGGTATTATGCAGATCTCATTTTCATGAACGAAGTTATTCTCTTTCAATTTTTCAATGTACCATACACCCAGATACTGTTTTCGCATTCTAAAACGGACCATAATCTACACATTGATGTATACATGCAGAAGCCAGGACGGGCCAATAATAATTGTATCATTTCACTATTTCACATCTTCACGGTGCAGCCTCGTATCATAACAAATATTCTTTTGTCCTTATCATCCTTGTGCACAACCGTACCAAACGCCTTCAACCACTCGTTACGATACTTAAAAGAACGGACGAACACTAACCAATGTTTGTCAGTATCATCTCAGCTGTATTAGCATATACCGTCCCTGCAAACGTCTTTGCAATGAGCTGAGATCCAGCAGCAATTATGCACACTTTTATCCTGCAAGTCAGGATTCGACGTTTCAACGACGACCATCGTCCCAGAGCAGAAAAAATACATGAGATGTATGTGACTAATTAATACAAAATTGTGACGTCAAGAACCGAACGAAAGCAAGAGCACACCTTCGCTATACAAAACCCATAGGGGCGAACATCGTGGACACGGCAGTTTAACAGCAAGGAGGGTATCATCACCGTGGCCGTGAGGGACCTTTATCCGCCTCTGCCACATTGTCCAGTTGCGCACTCCGTTTTTGAGCGAGTTCGTTCTGGCGTTCTAGACTCCTGTCGTGCCAAATCGTCAGCACAAGACCTTGGACATGAAAAGAGGAAAAAAGGAGGAAAGGGAGAGGAGGAAAAGGCCAACAATCACAAACCTCATCTGATTTTCCAACTCCAACACCCTCTCCTTCGCCCCTTGCCTCTCCCTCTTATACTTCTCCTCCCCTGCTTTCAACCTTGTCTCATACTCCTTCACCCTCGTCTCCCATTTCTGATCAGCCGGGGTCGTCTTTTAGTTTACGTTCGAAATATTTTCTTCACTTAAGAGGAGCTGGTTTTGAACTACCACTAGGCGTTTCTCAGCATTTACGGCGCGGGAAAGGAGCATCTTTGTTTCTTGGGAGTCGCCTTGGGTTGGTCGTCGGGATGTCACTAGTTGCGAGGTTAATTCTGCGTCGGTGGCCTTTGCAGATGAGAGTAAGAGTATCAATCAAAGTCAACGTAAAATATAAAAAAACACTAATAAAAATACCCACCTTCAACCCCTTAATCTCCCCTTCCTTCGCAGTCTCCAGGTAGCCTTTGCCTCACCATACACCTTTACGCTCGACTCGAACTTATCGATCTGGTTCCACCGCACATCAAGCTGCTTCCGCATCTCACCAAGCTTCTCAGTAAATTTCCCTTCTGCATCTTTGACGCGCTTTTCGAAGTCGAGTTGGATCTGGGATAGAGCCTTGAGCCGTGCGATGAGGTTGTCGTGGAAGACGCTGAAATTGGTGGAGGGCTTCGTTGCTGCTCGATCCTTTCTCCTGCGAAATAACATGATCTTGTGAGTGAGTGACGCGTGTTAGAGAGAAACAGAAGCACTTGCGAGAGTCTTACCCACGTCGAGGATCTTATCCATGTATTGATATATCGTAAGCTGCGATGTATTTCGCTCCGTAAGCTGATCACGATACTGATTCTCAGCACTCAATAACGTCCGCTGGTCCTTAGACAACCGCGTCTCCAGCTCATTCACTCTCGTCCTATACCCAAATGACTCTGCCTCAGCGGTCTTGAGACTGCTCTGCGCACTGTTAAGCTTCTCTGAGACTGAGACATGCTTGAGTTTGGGTGTTGAGCTGTGTGGTGACTCACTGTTGTACTTCGAGCTGCAGTTTATGAATCAGTCACGATCATGAGCCGTACTCTCGCGGTCGCCGACATCTTTCCTCGTACGAGACAGTTCGTCCTAATATTCTGAGTCGAGGAGGGTGGGTCATCTTAGGGCGGCACGCTATCAGGTGCGCGCCTATCAATTAGACCTTCGTGCGAAAGCCACTTCCGCACACCTAACCTGTTGATAGGGGACCATAGCTAACCACCCAGATAGATAGACAAGTATGTGCTGTCCAACTTATCCAAGCGACTTACAGCTTGGGCCTTCGCCCGTTGTGAGAGGCAGGAGGGGATGAAGCTTCCTCCTCTTCCTCTTTGTCATCGTCATCTTCTATTAACTGCACTACATGGGGTTTCTTTACCGACCTGTGAGCAAAAGTCAATACCATATCAAATGGGAAAATCATTAGCATGTTGACGCACGCGGCCTGTTTTGGGAGGGTTCGTGTGGGTGCTGGGGTAACATGGTCGTGCGATAAGACATCATCGTCTGAGTCATCGGAACCAGAAACACGTCTCCGCCTGAATAACAATTGGTCAACTGGAAGTTAATAATGAATGAATGCCCACTTACTTGGTTTGCTTCCCTCTGCCCTTGCCCTTTGGGTGTGACGGAGAAGCAGCAGAAGCCACACTTTCATCTGGTATGATGTTGTCCGTGGTATTGGTAACAATGCTTTCTGAGCGCCTGTGTCACAATCAGTTTCAACGCGTATGAACGGTAGCGTAACAGAAATCACACCTTTTCCGAGCACGAGTGCGAGGTATGTCAACCTCCTCGCCGTCGTCTAAGGGAATGATATCATCAAGAAATTCGAACAAGTCCTTCAGGTACTCCAGTTGCCTGTAATCTTCCTCGTTGAAGCTCTCTAGCGGCTCAGCATATCTTTTCGGAATCGCAGCATCAAATTTCGCAAGCGCATTCTTGGCTGCTGCGTCACGGATTGGTCGACGCTGTATGCGCATGATTTTTTGGTTGACACAAATGCTCAGATGAACTCACAGAATTGAGGCTGTGAAGTAGTAATTTGAGCGTGCGGATTTTATCGTCATCAACCTTGTCCAGCAAGTATAGCCTCCCAAAAACTTGATAGAAAAATTTCTTGTCCTCCTCTGCAATTTTAGCGTTGGTTAATGGTTCGCCCCAGAAAGTCATTGACATCCTTATCATCTTGTCGTCGAACAGTGCTCTTGCGATATCACTTGCCAGGTCAATATGAATTGTCTCGTCCGTTGGTTGCTCTTGCACATCGCTGCATCATTTTAACTAACACTCTCAAAACAAATAACATTGCCTCACATAGCTTTCTGTGGATCGGTCCAATCCACGAACATAGCTGCTATTTGAGCAGGACTGACCATATCCTGGGTGTCGTCAACATTTCGGGTTTCTGGGGCAAGTTGCTCGAATAATCCAATAACCAGCTTTTGCATTCGTCGCTGGTTGACTGCAGAGGAGTAGCAGTACACGGGGAAGAAATAGGCAAGGTACTGGCGGACTTCTTGGTTGTCGATCGTGTCCGGGGCAAGATATGCAGCAACCAGGCTTTGCAGGACCTGAAGAAGCGTCACCTCCTGATATCGTGCAACAATTTATCGGCACCAACCTTGTCTTCGGAGATCATTCCGGAAAGGACAAGCTTTGAAAGGCCGATACACAGGAGGGCTTGCACCTTGTCCGATTTCTCGGTTTCCAGGAGTTGCAAGAAGAATTCGATTATACGCTCTCTCTGTAGAAGCGTGAGCATTGAAATAAGGTTGAAGCTGTTGTTACCCACTGTACTACCCTCTTTTTTCAAGAAGTCGTTTTCGTGCACCATAAGAATGTCGAAGACAATCTGCAGCACACGGATCCTCAAGACTTCCGGGGCAGTCTGAATTTGACCCAAAAAAGCTGGAAAGAGTTGAGAGCCATGCGCTATGAAATTAATCAGTTTCAAAACCACATGGTGGGCAGCATGAGCATACTCAAGCAATAAGACAGCAAAGACCTAAACAGATGAGACCCTTTTCACGAAGTACCAATTCCTTACGTTTGACAGCAGGAATGATTAACTCGCCAAGGATGCCTTCGAGCGTTGAATTTTCTTCAAATGTCTGAGCAACAGTGAGTGATTAGGAAATTGAACATAAGCTATGACGCACTCCGTTAACACGCTCCAGCATCCCTATACAAAGTGACAGACAACGCAAATCAATCGTGTCCATACGAGCTCGTTCCTCGGAAGACATATTTTCTGATGGCTTTGGTCCTTTGGGTGCTGTACGAGTTGGCATGGGTGTTTCGCCAAAAGTGGTCTCTCCATCATCTGCAGGCTCCTTCTAGCAAAAATAACGTCATCACAGGAATAAAATGCGAACAATGAGGTGTCCAACTCACTAGAGCTTCTTCGTCGCTGACATCCCTAAACTCGTGGACTACTTCTACAACAACTCGAATAAGATCCCTCTCGTTTGGTGATAGTATCCGTAATAGGTCCAAACATCTAGCGACAAGTGATTCGGGTAGTGCTTCCTGAGAGATCATGTCTCTCACAAGCTGGAACATTTTCCGGCGCCCAATCTCATCAGCGTAGTCTAGATTCACAGCAACCTTGAGCATCTCGCCTATGACAAATTCCTTGTCAATGCGAGCCTCCTCTTCTTCCTCAGTTGATTCGCCACGAATGACTCTCTCTTGCTCGGCGACCTCCAAGTCTTCTTGGTATGCATTGTAGGCAGCTTGGATGCGGTAGGCAAGGTCAGTGACAACCGGGAGAGAAGCATCTAGTTTTTCCGCATTTTTAATGGCAATGCAATGGTCAACCAAGACGCGAGCGAAAAAAGCTCGCTCTGGGGTCAGGTTGGCCCAATAGGCATCTGTAGATGTTCCAATTAGCTCATCCGACCGAGATTCTGCAACGGAACATACCATTAAACTCGACGTGGTCGGAAATATCAGCGCGTCTATCCAAAACACTCAGCAGTGCGTCCTCTGCAACCGTGCTCTCCGTAAGATCAAATAGGCTTAAAAATGCGAGAACATTATCTTCGACGGTCTTGCTTTCTTCGTTCTTGACATGTTCACGAGCAACGTCCACCCATTTGCTGAGTAATAAAGCTGCAGTCTGGTGAACCGCTGGCTCTCGATCACCTAAACCATTGCGAATGATGAACTCTCTCTGAGAAATGGTAAGCACACGAGGATGAACGAGCCCCATTGCAGAGCCTTCAGAAGCGAAGCAATGTTGGATTAGGATAGCGGAATCAACCAGCTTGCGCATTATCGTGTCAATGTCACGGGTTCGACCAAGGACGGCGTCTAAGGTAGCTGAAGACAGAGGAATATTGAGCAATGCGGCTCTACGGACGTCTCTATAAGACAAGTGATTACCATACTGTTGGACGATCTATGACAAATGAACCAACGCGGCAGGATCACAACTAAGAGTCTCCAGTAGGACCTCAAGAGCAGTGGGTTCTCCTTCTTCCACATCAGATGGATCTTCCGAACCACATAGCTTCGAGAGTGCAATGACAGCCTGGACTCGAACAAATATTTCTTTATCGTGCACACGCTCGAAGAGAGCTGCGCGGAGCTCAGTGTACAACGTTTCGATGTGCCTGGTCAGCCAGGTTTATTGCACAAAATAGGTTGCTAACCTAATTTCACCCAAATGCGCGACCATCTCCGCCAAAAAGTGGACGCAGCGGTAGCGTGCGACTTTGTCCTTGGCTTCAAAGCCGTTTACGAGGGAGGTAAGCACTTTCTCAACGAACCGAGAGGCTGTGGTATCATCGTCTTCATCGTCATCCTCCTTCTTTACCTCAGCGGCTGTAATAAGATGAGGTTTAGCATCAGTGGAACGAGCGGACATCGTACCTCTCTCATTGATATATTTTGTATACGCTCCAACAAAATTGACTATCCGGTCACCCTGCGATGTTCCTTTCTTCACGGCGGCAGCTCTGCATAATATGTCTTTAAATCTCTCCTCAAACATACGCTCACCGGTGAGCTTGATGCTTCTGCCATTGTGTACGGATTCGGTGAAACCAGCAGCATCTAGGTGGAGTTTGTGAAGAGCAACGATAACTTTCTGGTGATTTGCAAATTTTGCAGTTGAATTCTGAACTTGGTCAAAAATCTTGGGCACGTTGGACGCGTTTAGGGTCACGTGCGTCGCGATGCAAAACTCTGATGCTTACGTGAAACACGAAGCACGTGCTCACTATGTTGGCGTGCTTTACCTTTCAGTCAAGGAGTGTCCGCCGCGGCCATGAGCGTATCGTTCGAGCTTCAAGATGAGCTACAGGCACTTCAGGACATCGCAAACTACGAAAATCACAAATGACCAGGATCCCCACAGTAGCGATCCCGGCCCCTTATTGCAACGTACGCTAGCCTTGGGTGTTGGTATTCGATTCTTACTGACCACGAACTTAGAGGCTGTCGGAGTGATTGCTCATTCATCCGAAGAAATCACTGATCCAGAGGTATTTGATACATTTCGATGCAGTCGCTGGGCGGAAAAGCTTGCGGCCGGGGGCTCACCCAATAGAGCCAATAAGGAGACCGAAGAGCTTGATCAAGTCGCTGGCAATGTAGAGGATGAGATTGGTGAACGGATAGCTGCCGTTCGCGAAACTGAGTTGCTCTATGGAGAGCAGTCGTTGCTGAAGTTGTACGGCCCGTTACTAGTCCATGTGTGCGGTAGTCCACATAAATTCAAGGCAAGTGACGAGTCATTTTCTCTGCATTACTACTGACGCATACAACAGAATCGCACACTTCGTGCTGCTACAACTCTCCCGTTCAGCAAGTTCCTCTGTGTCAGCTCACAATTTTGCGATCAGCACCACCATCTCCTCTTCAAGATCCTTGAGACTTCAAGAGACCCAAATATCCGTAGCAACATTGTCATTGCCCTCGGCGATGTGGCAGTCTCGTTCAGCAAGATCATCAACGAGAACAGTCATGAATCATATAAAGGCCTTTGTGACGGTGATCTTGTCGTAAAGAAGAACACGCTGATGGTGCTCACGCACTTGATCCTCAACGGGATGATCAAAGTGAAAGGTCAGCTAGGCGAGATGGCCAAGTGTCTAGAGGATGAGAAGCTACGGATATCTGACCTTGCGAAGCTGTTTTTCAAGGAGCTGTCGACGAAGGACAACGCGATCTACAACAACCTACCTGATGGTAGGCCTCAGTTCACTCTTAATATCAACGTTCTACATATTTGGTGCGTCGGACGCGCCCCTGCAAACGTCACCCCCTCACCCTATTTACCGGACTTTTCCATGCATGGTGCATCCACAAGACTGCCATAGTACTAGGTGCGCACCTGATAGCGTGCCAACCTAGGGTGGCCCACCCTTTCTGACTTAGAATTTTTTTTTTTTGAACTTAGAATATTAGTCGCAAGCTGCTGGAGGGTGAAAAGTCGGCAATGAATTAATGATACGGTCAAAGGAGTAACCGAGGCAGCAAGATGCACAATCTTCGCTGCTGCAAGACCATTCTAGCACACGGTATTCCACGGATAACATTTTCCTTTCATCCTTATCGCTCAAGCTGGTTAGTTCATGATAACGATCAATAGCGGCTCTTCACCCAATAAAGGCAGGCATCTATGGTATCAACACGACTCCTTCGCCACGATCGGTTACGTTTGCACCCAATGTCACTCCAGTGACGTTTAACGAGACTGACGAGTCCCTGTCCTCACCAACACCAGAACCTTTGTCGCCCACGACGCAGCTCTTCCCTCCTTCAGAGCTTCCCCCAACGACCACCAGGAGACGTGTACCTCCTGGCAAGCGCCGGTCGCTAGGTTACATACCACGTCCCCCGAACGCGTTTGTGTTGTTCCGTGCGGACTTTGTCCGTCAGAAGCACGTTCCAGGGTCCATCGAGACTCATCACGGTTCGCTCTCCAAGATCATCGGTAGGTTTTAATTACCCAGATAGTCTCATGTGATTCTCATGTCGTACCCAGGCAATTGCTGGAGAGCGCTTCCTCTCGAGGAGAAGCGTGTATGGGAGATCAAGGCCAAGCATGCCAAAGCTGAACACAAGGCACGGTATCCTGAGTACCGTTTTCGCCCAGTCCACAACAAGAATAAGGAAAAGAAAAAAGAAAAGGCCACACCCACAGCTGAAGATGAACGCCGCTGCGAAGAGGTTGCTCAACTCCTCCTTGACGGAATGAAGGGCGACCAGCTCGCCGCTGCTATCCGCAAGCTCGACGAAAACAAGGTACATGCTCCTACGCCTGCCTATCTTCTCAGGCGACCCTCTTCCGTGCCCCTTCCGGATTCGCGGTTTGGTGCTGCAGGCATTACCATCCCAACTCTACCTTTCTTCGCAGGCTCGCGTCCTGGAACTCCTGTTGGAAAAACCTCCCACTCTGCTCGCTATATCCTCGGTCAGCGCAGAGCTTCGAGTGCCCAACCGACTATCCCCCGTCATTGGGGCGTCGCCCCACCTGCCTCCTGGCAGCGCGATGAGTCTCCCCTTCCAGAGGCAAACACGAGCTTGTTTGAGCCATCATTCTTCAACTCGAACTTTTCTAGCCAAACCGCGCAGTCAGATGGTGCATTCGTACGTATTACCATTTTTTCATCCTCCAGATCGACGCTGACGTGACAATTCAGAGCTTCAATGAGATGATCTCTACTTTCCCTCCTCATGCTCCTCAGGACTTCGGCATTGCTCCATTGGACCCACTTCATGATCTGTCATTAGACATCAATGCCTTGAATTTCAACCCTCATGACCCCTCCGCCTGGGTGTCGGCAGAGTACAGCAACTCTCAGACTTCGTCCCCATACACTGGCTCCCCTGCACACTCTGACATGTCGTTGCCCGTTGCTGCACCCCAGCCACAGCATGCAGTTGCCCTATTCGATCACTGGCCAGACATGTCACAGCAGTACACTATTCCTATCAAGGACCTGGACTGCTTGCAGGGGTCCGGTGAGCAGCAGATCATAGAGCCACAATTCTCCGGCTACTCAACTGGCATCGAGGGTTTGTTCCCACCACTTGGCGTCATTGATACCCACGGACCTACCATGATGGGTTTCGACTATAACTCGTACTGCTTGTCTTAGCTTGGTGCATATCACTATCCCCGTCTCCATCTACACGATCTATCATTGTATGTATAGCTATTTATTTTACTAGCCTCGGAGTTTCCCCCTCTTCCTTGCCCTGTTTCTATATATATCCTTGGTTTGCACGGTATCGTTGACTTGTAGCTTTATCACTTGCTGTGTCAGATTGGATTGCGCATCCACCCCTTGTATCCATATCGTCACGGTCTCTATTGTCTTGTATGCTTGTAAACGAGCAATATTATGATACCCTGTTCCGCCTCGTTCTGGGGCGGAAAACGTCAAAACGTGATCTGGACTGAGCCGACTAGCAAGTTTTATCTATGGCGCCGGTCCGTATCAGTCTTGCTGTGCCCCAGATCGGTGCCACCTTCGCATGTCATTTCAATGATTCTTCGGAGCATGACAATTAGCTACACGTGGTGAGGAAGGCTGGGCGGTGCTTAACTTAACGTTTCAAGATTTTCAACACAGGTTTTTGATAGGTAGCGCGTGATCGTCTTGCAAAGATATGTGCGGGCGCCACGCATCATCTACTAGGCGCGGTCTAACCAAGGCAATGCGAACACGACCACTAGTCAATATTTCAATGTCCGTGCATGACGCACATATACATACGTCAGTACATTCCTTGCGATTATTTTTCTCGGGAGGGAGGACCGATGAGCGTATAAATAGACATGCTAATAAACACACCAGTGATTTACTACGAAGGGGAAGACTAGTCCGACGACAAGGATACAAGATAATGCTACATCGTTCATGATCCTGACGACCAATGCATTGCGAAAGTGTCCATGAGAGTGTCTAGTGTTTATAAGGAAGGATGAGAGCTAGGAAGGACATCATGATCATGATCTGCATTTCTGCTTCTCGAAGAAGCCATCGAACGAGGGTAAGCTGGTAGCTCTTCGCTTGGCTCTCGGGAACAATCACTTGCAACTATGTGTTCAGCCCGATTATCTCCATTATCATGGCAATAACCATCTGGAGAATGGGCACAAGACGGATGCAGCTTTTCTAGCTCGTAGAACCGTCGGCGCCTTGCAACAGTGGACGGAGAGGTGCTACTATCATTGAATAACTGAAATGGTATGGGATCGACACGGGACGGGGTAGACGGAGATCCATCCCTAGAATTCTGTGTGGTACAAGAATCGAAATGTTCAGGGTGGATGATGAATGTGCCTCTACCGCTCAGAGGACTCGGAACGGCGATGTTGCGCTGTGCAGTTGAGGAAAGATTGAAAGGGGTCACAGATGATCTTTGTCCTGTGCGAGTTAATCGCACTATGATACAGGTTAGTAGGAGAGCTAGAAGCGCGACTCCTGCCACAGTTCCTCCAATGATGGCGGCCATGGTTATTGGGGATGCAGATTCGATTTCAACAAAGATTGGTTCAACCGACGGACTCGGGAACACGTCAATACTTGTCAATGTGAGAACTGGTGCTCATCGCGGGTGTAAGCGAGTAGGATGTTGGCGCGAGTGTCTGCCATGACAATGAGATATTTGGCGTGAAAGTTTGAGGTTCTGCTGAGAGGCAATCTCCTCCATCCATGCTGGGATTGTGTAGTCGATGAGACACGGGAAGACCATCCTCTGGCCGACCTTTTTGTGCTAGAGTTCAAACAACTATCGCACCAGAGACGGCCAAACGTTTCAGAACTTTGGGCAGTGCCAAAGTAATCATCGGTCGATCATGAGCGCTTGAGCTCCGTTGTTGTAGCTCTGCATCCTCATCATCTGAATAAAACAGCGGAGCGGAAGCGATTCTGTCTTTGCGAAGATGTTTCTGAGATGATCCGGCAGCCGGAATAGCTGCACCCTCAAGCAAGCCATCAAGAGGCGCCCCGATAACCGGCAAGTTCGAAGGACCTGGTACTGCATGTGTTTTGACTGAGCGCCTCTTTTCCGGGGACATCGGTTTATATTCGGGTTCACTATCAGAGTCTGTTATTTCGATGATTTCTTCAGCCCATAGACTTGGTACTGGTGGCGGTCGCGGTAGTATCCTTCGCTTTTGCGACCGAGGCTGCTGACTTTGATTACGAGTTACTCTGGATGTCGTAGGAAGTAGTTCGGGGGAAGAAGGGATGTCAATGACCTCCATGACGGTTGGACTTTAAGTGCGAGGAGCCACAACTGGCAAGTCAGTCGGGTTTTGCATTTATGTCTGAGCATAAAAATATACATATTGTCGTCAAAGGCAATTAAATTGCTACATTGTGGATTGTTCAACGTTCAGATACGGTCATTGTTGACTAAGCCACGCGCTGGGTGATTCCACTGGCAGATGTTGGTGATGGTGATATTCAATATCACCGTGACAGCACACCTTGATGGTAGTACCCAAGTATGCGTGTTCGAAATACAGGCATTGTCGATTCAATGGTTCACAGGTATGTCCGCCACATTGATAGTACCAAAGCTTCATTGCGCCGCAGGGATGCCGCTCAATGGTCATGAACAAAGCAGTATCAGTGTGGACCAAAGGTCATTCCCGGTAGCGTCTCCTAGGCAATTTCTCGTCCAGCGCAAATATTCGGATGTGGAGACCTAACTATTCCAGCACTCGCTCGCACCACCTCACCATGTGACGAGGAAAGCCCCCGTAACAGGATCTTCTCTCCCGAGGGCCACGCACCCCATTCCTAGAGCTCATTATATACGCCTGCAAAACATGAGGTAAACATGCGTGCTTTTCTAGGTTCAATATTCATTCTTTGTTTAATGTTGCTCTGTAGCGTAATCGTGGAAATGCCACCAGCAGGACAAGGTATTCAAACAGCAGCCACCACCACCACCTCGTCAGCAGGGCCGCACTTCCGCGTCGAACATATTCCGGAGACTAGTTAATTAACGACTCCGAGTCTGGCCAGATACTTCCCGCGTCTCTCATGCACTTGACAAGCCTGTCTGCAGGCCCAGTTACTTCCTGCTCCCGCTAGGTTTCCTCTCTGTCAACTGAGCTTGAATGATTTCCTTTGCTGTGTATCAGAAGTGTGGAATTTTTCGACGCTCCACATGGAATCACCCTCGTCACGGTGTGACCGGCCTGCTCCACCAATCAAGCAACTTCGAGGATCACGCTTGCGCTTACGCCTTCGTTCCTTTATTTGCTAGACTCAAAGCTCAAAACTATTATTTAGACATGTCTCGTACCGGTATCACCTACAGGTGCAAACCCCAAGGACACATCAAAGACACTGCAAGGCATTGCCAAGCGTGATCATATGGATCTTGTTTTGCAATAGTATTAGCAAGATCTATTCCTTAAGTGGCACATTTAGCGGGCGATCAGGTAAACACATCATTTGCATGACGGCAGTCCTGCCACCTCTAGCTTTGCTCGTACGTGGCATGTGGCACTATGGGAGATTGGATAACAACTGTGGCTGTCGGGTTTGATAAGAACACCGAGGACATACCAGCACCACCTGATATATTCGAGCGTGGACCGATCAATCAGCGCCATAATGCCATGGATGCCCGAGCCAGTTGCACGAAAATGAATAGTGGAATACAGCAATTATGATCTAGACTGTGATGATATCAGCAACGAGCCTGACTTTGGCTCACACACGACTCAGGGGATAACGACAGGGCAATACTGCTCAAGCGGATGCAGATACAATCCCATCATCAGCGTCCTATGCACTATGGTTCCCAGATCTTGGTAAGTTTTGGGTCTCGGCTGCACCACTGCTGCCGATCCAGGAACGCTGATCGGACAAATTTGCATACAGGAGGCCTAGGAGGGCTCCAATGGCTGTCCATCGACTGCCACGGCGGCTGACTCTTCAACTGGTCTAGAAGGTTGGCTTTGCAAGTACCACGGGGTGGAAGGGCCAGGCAATGGGGAAAGTAAGTCACTAAATATGGCAATGGATAACACAAACTTTTGCTGTTCGTGGCGTGGGGTAGAATCTTCCCTGACAGCCTGCTCAAATGCAGTTATTGAAGGTGCGGTACTCTGTGGCACTATTGTGCGTTTTGTTGGTGAAACGCTTGCGCCACGTTGGTAAGGTGACTCAACCCGACGTCTTTCAGTTGGGATCTCAGGCAACGGGGTGTCACCGAGATCATCGTCGGTACTGTGGGAAAAGCCCACCACAGCACGCTTTAGTGAGGGCCTTTGCTGGCGTGACATCCTGTGTTTTGGCTTTCATGGCGGACTTGTATGGAGACTTCTGTGGCGGGGTAGAAGGGCGAGTACGGTGTTTCGAAGGCGTCCCAGGAGAATTCATTTCTTGTAGCTGAGATTTGATGCGGCCGGCGACTATATCACATTCCTTTTCGAGGGCCTTTATGACAGATTTGAACGCAGGTAGAGCCATGGTTTTGACAAAGTGGTTTTTCTTGCACCCCTTGAACAAAATAACGCGAGTAAGGGATATTAAAAAGATATATCATGCAGACCTTCATGATCTGACATATCCAGTAAGATACGGTACAAGTCACCATACTGGCTTGATGACGGGTACGAAATACATCAACCTTGAGGATACTGCCTTCTGCTTCGCACATTGCAACCGAGGCTTTTTGTGACACTTCGTTATTATCCGGTCTATGAACAATTATCAGATGCCAAACAATAGTAATGGGGAAACAGTGCACCTTCTGATGGACGCGAGGTACACGCAGAATCGGATGCCTGGAAGTGCACTTGGATGAGCGACGAGAAACGCAGAGTCAGGCCCAGTCTTGGCTTTTGCAAGTCGGAGAATCACCTGAGGCTGTGCTTTCTCATATGTTTCTCCGGAGCATATATAGTGTGTGTTTCAAGTGCTGCTTCCATCAAAAAGGTGCACGCCACGGTGGAAGAACAAGACGCGGCGTCCATCAGAAGGTGCACTGTTTCCCCATTACTATTGTTTGGCATCTGATAATTGTTCATAGACCGGATAATAACGAAGTGTCACAAAAAGCCTCGGTTGCAATGTGCGAAGCAGAAGGCAGTATCCTCAAGGTTGATGTATTTCGTACCCGTCATCAAGCCAGTATGGTGACTTGTACCGTATCTTACTGGATATGTCAGATCATGAAGGTCTGCATGATATATCTTTTTAATATCCCTTACTCGCGTTATTTTGTTCAAGGGGTGCAAGAAAAACCACTTTGTCAAAACCATGGCTCTACCTGCGTTCAAATCTGTCATAAAGGCCCTCGAAAAGGAATGTGATATAGTCGCCGGCCGCATCAAATCTCAGCTACAAGAAATGAATTCTCCTGGGACGCCTTCGAAACACCGTACTCGCCCTTCTACCCCGCCACAGAAGTCTCCATACAAGTCCGCCATGAAAGCCAAAACACAGGATGTCACGCCAGCAAAGGCCCTCACTAAAGCGTGCTGTGGTGGGCTTTTCCCACAGTACCGACGATGATCTCGGTGACACCCCGTTGCCTGAGATCCCAACTGAAAGACGTCGGGTTGAGTCACCTTACCAACGTGGCGCAAGCGTTTCACCAACAAAACGCACAATAGTGCCACAGAGTACCGCACCTTCAATAACTGCATTTGAGCAGGCTGTCAGGGAAGATTCTACCCCACGCCACGAAACAGCAAAAGTTTGTGTTATCCATTGCCATATTTAGTGACTTACTTTCCCCATTGCCTGGCCCTTCCACCCCGTGGTACTTGCAAAGCCAACCTTCTAGACCAGTTGAAGAGTCAGCCGCCGTGGCAGTCGATGGACAGCCATTGGAGCCCTCCTAGGCCTCCTGTATGCAAATTTGTCCCGATCAGCGTTCCTGGATCGGCAGCAGTGGTGCAGCCGAGACCCAAAACTTACCAAGATCTGGGAACCATAGTGCATAGGACGCTGATGATGGGATTGTATCTGCATCCGCTTGAGCAGTATTGCCCTGTCGTTATCCCTGAGTCGTGTGTGAGCCAAAGTCAGGCTCGTTGCTGATATCATCACAGTCTAGATATAATTGCTGTATTCCACTATTCATTTTCGTGCAACTGGCTCGGGCATCCATGGCATTATGGCGCTGATTGATCGGTCCACGCTCGAATATATCAGGTGGTGCTGGTATGTCCTCGGTGTTCTTATCAAACCCGACAGCCACATTGTTATCCAATCTCCCATAGTGCCACATGCCACGTACGAGCAAAGCTAGAGTGGCAGGACTGCCGTCATGCAAATGATGTGTTTACTGATCGCCCGCTAAATGTGCCACTTAAGGAATAGATCTTGCTAATACGATTGCAAACAAGATCCATATGATCACGCTTGGCAATGCCTTGCAGTGTCTTTGATGTGTCCTTGGGTTTGCACCTGTATGATACCGGTACGAGACATGTCTAAATAATAGTTTTGAGCTTTGAGTCTAGCAAATAAAGGAACGAAGGCGTAAGCGCAAGCGTGATCCTCGAAGTTGCTTGATTGGTGGAGCAGGCCGGTC